TACTGACTTTTTCTGCAAAGGAAATACCTTGTTCTTTCTATTTTTTCTTTGTGACTCTTTCTGTACATTTGCTTATATATTTTTTTCATACATACCAAGAAGTGAGTGCTTTGCTATGTAGAAAGCTGAGCTTTCTTGTTGCTGTTTGGAAGTAACCTTGGCAATGATTTTGTGCCAATGTTAGCTATTTTGCTACTAACTAAAATTGCAAAGAAAATATATACAGTAATTCTGATCAAACAAATTGACCCAATCCTTGTTTTCAAATTCTCAGAAATGAAATTTTAACCCAGCTCTATGCTATAAATACAGAACTAACTTTATTCAGATTGAACTGATAAGACCTGGAGGACATGAGAGGAGTGGGGAGAAAGCAGTAAAAATTTGAGAATTGTGGGTTTCCCCACAGAATGACTCACAAAATAAACATTTCTTAAGCAAGGAACATGAAAGTCTTAACAGGTTCTTCCTCAAGTAGGTCATGACTAAGAAGTTACTTCTTTCTCCTCTCTTTCTATTGGTGCCTCTAGCAGTGAATTATAAAGGGCATGCAATAAGAAGTAAGACTTTCATTCAGCACCTGCTAGTAGTGAAATCAAGTTCAAACACAGAAATGAGACACGTGGCTGGATGAAGAAAAAGGTAAAAAATATATTCAAGTAATTGATGCAATGAAACGATCAATTCTTCTTTTCTAGACAGGGAGGGAGGGAGAGGAAGGGAAGGAGAGAGAGGGAGAGGGAGGGAGGTGTCTGCAAATTATTTGTGTTTGATTATTTTTAAAATCTGAGACAAAATAATAGTAAGTGAGAAGGGGTGAAGGTTTAACTTACATTGAGAAAAGTTAATGTAAGTTTTCTATTTTCCATATTTAACTGGTGTGTTGCTTTTCCAAAATACAGATTTGGTTTAATTCATTCATTCTTTTGTGTTCAAAATATCTTTCTGAAGCATTTTGAGCAGATGCTGCCTGATTACAGCCTTTTCCTTCCTAGTTCACTATGTTGATTCTCTAGCAAAAGTATATGGCAGGCAAAAGTACATATAGCTGTTTTTTTCAAATTGCAAATACTGCTGAATCTATTTGAATTGTGCCAGTTCTTATAATGTGCTATGGTATAAATAAAGTGTATTTATAATAACATTGATTGTATTATCTATATATAACCAAGAACTATAATAAATACAACCAGGTTGTTTCTTCCTGGCGAATACAACAGTAAAAGTGTATTTTGAGCTTCCCTTCCCCTTCCCCTTCCCTTCTGCTTCCGTTCCTTTCCTTTCCTTGAACCACTGTTGACTGTGAAAAATGAAGTCACTGCAGTTTTCTTGGCAATTTTGCCACTGCAGTTTTTCAGAAATGATTGCCATTGCCTCCTTCCTGAGCTGGAGAAAGAATGACCAGCCCAAAGTCAACCAACTGGCTTTATGCCTAAGGCAGAACTATAATTCAGGGTCTCCCAGTTTCTACCCTGGCACTCTAACCACTATACTAGATTGGCTGTCTCTTTTCAACCTATTAGTGCTTAGTTAGTGTATAGCTTGATTGTTTTTAAGTTGAACAAGTCCATTGCCATTACTATTACTACAATGCTGGGAGGAGGAGGAGGAGGAGGAGGATATAGGCTTGCTATTGGCACTATTGTAGTGTCTTTGTCACAAAACACATTTGTATCATAGAAAAATCTGCTAAGAAATCAACTAAAAGGAAAAGATCCTTATCTAAGTCCTCTCAATGCTCTCATCTTATACCATTATTAAATGCTACTGAGTCAGTTGCCCAAAATGATAAATTTAGGGGATTGCCAAAATGGAAATCTGAAAAAAACCTGACTATTGATAAATACTATTGATAAATAGCTAAAAGGGAAGTCAAATCATTCAGATCTCTAAAGAAAATACTAAACCAATAGACCTTCAGCTACAGTTTAACATACAGAAAGGGAAAGAATTTTCATTTTCAGGAATTCTTCAGCATAATTTCGAAACCAAGTAAACAATTGAATTAGAGAAAACAGTTCCTTTAGAAAAAGGAAATCTTTCATTATTAAACAAAAATGTATTAAAAGAGTATTAAAAAAGAATAAGAAGCATGCAAAGAAGCTGAACTCTTTGCATTGTCTTCACTGCAGAAAATGTTGGGCGGTGCCTAAACTGCCAAGGAGATAAAGCATGTCGATGATTATCCTGATAATAGATTAATTCTATTTGATTATTTTTTTAAGAAAACCCAAACCTATCAGGTCGCTGTAATAACAAACTATAAACTTGCTTCCATTATTCCAATGTGAAAAGGAGCTAATGTTCTTATCAAAAGATGAAGCAACTTTCAAAGATTGGCTTTCAACCAGTAGACTGTAAATAAGCTAACAAGATTTTTAAAAACAGACTGTGGCAGGGAGGCAAAGGGTCTTGCAATTTACATTCAGTTTTGCTTACTACCTTTTGAGGATAAATTAAGAAAAATCATAACAATACAATTATTGGTGGTCCATTACATACCAGCAGTCCATTTAGTGACCATTCAAAGTTACAGTGGTACGGGAAAAAGTGACTTCTGACCACTTTTCACATTTACAACTGTTGCAGCTTCCTCATGGTCCCGTGATCAAAATTTAGACACTTGGCAACTGATTCATATTTATGAGGGTTGCAGTGTCCCAGGGTCATATGATCACCTCTTGCAACCTCCTGACAAGTAAGGTCAATGGGAAAACCAGATTCACTTAGCAACGGTATTACTAACTTAACAAGTGATTTACTTAACAACTGGGGGCAAGAAAGGTAACAAAATGGAGCAAAACTCACTTAACAAACGTTTCACTTAAAAACAGACATTTGGGGGGTCAACTGAGATCGTAAGACGAGGACTCCCTGAATGCGGCTTTGCTAGAAAGTCTGCTACCACAACAGATTAAGATCGGGGATGACAGGTTCAAATCTTTGCTAAACTAGGAAGCATTCTGAGCAATTGTGGGCCAGTCACAATTTTCTATCGAATGTACCAAAAGATGTTAATGATACAAGATTAGAGGGCAAGGAGGACATTCATATTTTGTTCCTGGAGAGAAAAAGGTGAAGAAAAATGAAGTACATAAGAAAAGTGTCATCATACAAATAAAGAAGAATATTTGTAGCTCGGGGTTAAAATGAGGAGTCCTTGGTGCTCTCTGAGTTAAGTTGTTTTTTTGCAGATGTTTCATTACCCAAACTTGGTAATATCATCAGTGCACTGTTTGGGTAATGAAACATCTGCAAGAAAACAGCCAAGCTCTGAAACCACCAAGGACCTCTCAGAATCATCTTAGGTTTATAAAATAAATGTCTATCAAAAACCAGTAAACATGTCAGCAGGAGTAAAATTGTATATGTTTATTTTACTTCAATAAGATTTTAACAAAAGTTGCTCACTACATAACCTTGTTATCCAGGGTTGAGGGGGGTGGGGGCATGTCAGCTAGTAGCTTGGTTGCAATAGCTGTGCACCTACAAATTGCTTACCTAATTGGGTCTCTGCCCCCCAACTTCCTTTTCACTACATACCTAAACCACTGATGAAGCAGAAGGAAACCATGAGCTCCTCACAAAAAGGGTTTATTAGACAAAGGACCTAATTTCGATGGCCGCTCTCATAAATCAGGATCTGGGTTTTATAACTGCTTGAACTTCTTGCTTCAAATGGATATAGACATCCCACTTCAACACAGATGTTCAAAAACACCCATCCCCAAATCAAGTTGTTTATTGCTCTGCTGATAGCTAGTCTATTGATAATGAGCCTGGTCAATGTTTGTTCTCCCGGGCAGTTGCATCCATGAAAAGGATTGCAAAGAAAAATAGAATAGAGTCACAGGAAAAAAACAAATGGAAATGATAACAAATTGAGGGACAGGAATTTTTTAGGTATTGTAAGATATCTGTTACCCTTGTACACAGTTGCTGTGAAAAAAGCAAATTCTCTTTTAGAGGGAGTAAAATCATCTGAGAAGTTATTTGAACATGAGAAGTGAAGTCCATGCTAGGAGCGGCTGATATACTGTCTGATATACATAGTTTGGGTGATTATCAGTGGTGGGATTCAAAAAAATGTATTACTGGTTCTGTGGGCAAGGCTTGGTGGGCATGGCAGGGGAAGGAGGCTGTTAAATCTCCAGTCAGAGGTGGTATTTGCCATTTCTCTAAACTACTCAAAATTTCAGCTACCGGTTCTCCAGAACTGGTTAGAACCTGCTGAATACTACCTCTGGTAGTTATGTGCTTAGACCAGTCACCTTTGTTCTAATGGTGGTCTTAGAGGTACTTAAACATGTTGTTTTATGAACCTTGCTTTCCAGAACAAGCCTATGGCCATGTTGGTTCAATATTGGTTCAGATAAACTAAATCAAATATTCTGATCATTTCAAGAGATTCTGATTTTGAAGAACCTTAACAATTTATCTCTTAATCTTTTTTTTAAGTTGCAACTTTTTTAAAAAAAAATTGTGTACACTCAGGAATGTCATTCTTCCTTTTTTACTTACTTTGCTTTGGGAAGATGTTAGCATCTTTGTAAAATCTGTAAATCAACCTGGGAAATTGCCTAATAGCTACCTTGCCTAGAAACTCCTAATCCCATAGCATCTTTGATATTTATCTTAAAATAAAAAATACCAGGTTAACTTAAAATAGTAATATCTTTTTATAGCTGCTGACAAGCAGAATAAAATGTTTGAAAGAGTGTTTGCTGTGCTTAAAAGTGGCTCAAAAATATCATAGTAGTAAACCAACACTGGTATTGATTTTCGTTAGGGAGAAATATAGAGGCTAAACAGAGAATTTAAAAAAGGATGAAGGAATTTATTTCCAAAGCTAAATCTGTCCTTCCAATTATTTCATATTCCCCATTCAACATTCTGGTAGGATTATGTTAAACATTTTAAAAAGAAATATTGATAGAGAAAATCATATTTTTTTTCTTTTAGACAATGCCTTTTGACAAAGATCCAACATCTTCCAGACCATGGCAATATCTAAAGTCTTGTTGGTTTTAAACTTACTTTTCTGTAAGATCCCCCAAAGTCTTCTTTCTCATCGGTGCTTAGCTAAAGGGCCAGGTAAGTATTATCCTTATAAGAATTGAAACCAAATACGGGTAGTCCTTGACTTATGACCACAAGTAAGCTCGAAATTTCTATTGCTAAGCAAGACAGTTATTAAATCAGTTTTGTCTCTTTTTATGACCTTGCTTGCCCAAAGTTATTAAGTGAATCACTGCATTTATTAAGTCACTAACACAGTTGTTAAGTGAAGCTGCCTTCCCAGATTGCTTTTAGAAGGTCACAAAAGATGAACACATGATCCTGGGCACTGCAACTGTCATAATATATACTACATTTTTTGGTCATGCTACGCATCACATTATTTGTCTTCCCTATCTATGGCCATGCTGTAATAGCGAAGGCATTAGGGAACATGCATGGTCCTAATCCCAGCCAATCAATATGTGTGTTCCAAATCCTAGCCAATAAGTATTTTTCTAGCTAGAGTCTACTACACTTGGATACCCAGCTTGGTTCCTAGGATGCAATGTATCCATAAGTTATTTCTTTCACGCGCACTGGTTTCCTGCTCCATCTCACTCTTAAATTTAAATATCATTTATTTTATTTATTTGTTCATTTGCTTAGTTAGTTAAAAAGGAACCAGCCTTTTGTAAAGCAAAATGCCAACCTCTTCCAGTATTATTTTATTTATTTATTTGTCAATTGCTTACAAGATAATAGGTATAAGTAAAAACATAGTTATGAATACATGGATACATATAAGAAAAATGAAAAATATATAAAAGAAACAATAGGACAGGAATGGTAGGCACATTGGTGCACTTATGCACGCCCCCTACAGACCTCTTAGGAAAGGAGTGAGGTCAATAGTAGACAGTCTAAGGTTAAAGTTTTTGGGGTTTGAGGAAAAAATCACAGAGTCAAGTAGAGTATTCCAGACATTGACCACTCTGTTGCTGAAGTCGTATTTCCTGCAATCAAGTTTGGTGCGATTAACCTTGAGTTTGTATCTATTGTTTGCTCTTATACTGTTATGGTTGAAGCTGAAGTATTCATTGACTGGTAGGACATTGCAATGTATGATTTTATGTACTATACTTAGATCGGACTGAAGGTGGTGTAGTTCTAGGTTTTCTAGGTCTAGAATTTTGAGTCTGATGGCATAAGGTATTCTGCAACGAGTAGATGAGTGGAGAACTCTTGTGAAATATTTCTGGACTTTCTCAACTGTGTTAATATCACATACGTAATGTGGGTTCCAGACTGATGAACTGTATTCAAGTATTGGTCTAGCAAATGTTTTGTATGCTCTAGTTAGTAGTGTGATATTACCAGAGAAAAAGCTATGTAGGATTAGGTTAAAAACTCTTAATGCCTTTTTGGCTATGTAGTTACAGTGGGCTCTAGCACTTAGATCATTAGAGATGAGTACTCCAAGATCCTTGACAGAGTTTGGATCATCAATAAGGTCTTGACTATTCAACCTGTATTTTATTTTCTGATTTTTTTTGCCAGTATGTAGGACAGAGCATTTATTTGTTGAGATTTGAAGTTGCCATTTGTTTGACCATTCTGATACATAGTCGAGGTCTTTTTGAAGGATAGCAGTATTGTCTGTGGTGTTGAATAGCTTTACATCATCAGCGAAGAGAACACAGTTGCTCCTGATATGATCACAGAGGTCATTTATGTAGAGTATGAAAAGAGTTGGTCCTAGAACACTGCCTTGGGGGACACCACTGTTGACAGGTACAGAATTTGATAGGACACTCCCAATTTTGACCATTTGTTGTCTGTTTGACAGGAATGCTTCTATCCAGTTATGCAGGTGTCCAGAGATACCATAAGATTTTAGTTTGGGGAGTAGTTTGTCATGTACCACCGAATCAAAGGCTTTACAGAAGTCTATGTAGATTGTGTCTATTGCTTTGCCCTGATCGAGTTGTGTAGTCCATATGTTTTTCCAGTGTAAGAGTTGCAGATTATATGATAGTTTTTTCCTAAAACCAAATTGTTTATTAGAGAGTAGGTTGTTTGTTTCTAAGTGGAGGATGATGGATTGGTTAATAATTGATTCCATGACTTTACATGTGATGCAGCATAAAGAGATTGGTCTGTAATTTTCAAGTAGGCTGGGGTCTCCCTTTTTGAAGATGGGGATGACCGTGGCTAGTGACCATAATTTTGGCAAGGAGCTGGTCCTGAAAGATTTTTCAAAGATTATGCTTAGAGGTTCGGCTATGGCAGTGGATAGCTTTTTTAAGAAGAAGGCACATATTCTGTCCGGTCCAATAGATAGAGATGGTTTTAGATAGCTTAGATAGTGCTTTTTCAACAATGTCTTCTATAAAATCGATATGTATTAGATCATTCTAGATGTCTGTGGTTCGACTAGGAAATACTGGGCATGATCCATTGCTGTTTACAAATACTGAGCCAAAGAATATGTTAAAGAGGTTGGCTTTAATAGTGTCGTCGTTGCAGTCTTTACCATTAGGCCCTTTCAGGGGTGGGATGGACCTTGAGTCTTTTAGCTTGTTGTTTACAAAATTGTAGAAAGCGCGGGTGGAATTGATGCATAGAAGGTTTTCTTCTTGTTTAATGTGATAATTGGTGCATTCAGTTTTTATCTGGTGGCATAAATTTTTGTATCGGCTTTTGAAGTTGGCAACGTGACCAGATTTGTTTTTCTGCCAAAGTGATTTTTTAAAAATTGAAACTTCCTTATTGTTGTGGGTCATTTGTTTTTTCTGGTTTTGGGAGTTATTAATGGTACATATAGTTTGATGACTCTTTTGACTTCAAGTAAAAGTATGTTGT